GCAACGGATAAGGCCATTGGAATTATGGAAAGGAATGAGAGGAACTTCCAAAACAACAACTTTTAGGAGATGGCTGGGAGTAAAGACTGGGATATAGAGCACAATGACAAGCTGTTGTTGCAGCAAGTGGACATAGGCAATTGTGGTGCTTGCCCAGCTGTGGAGCAACATGCATCTTGTCTCCATCCCACTTGTAATTTATTTGCCTTCTGTTTTTAGATCACTTATTTGAAGCCCAGAGGCAATCTCCTGTCTGCCTGCACAGCACCCAGTTTAGACTGTGTCCCCAAACTGTGGGATGTTGGTACTCACATCATCTCATATGGGAGAGCATCAAGTGGACAGCAAGTGGTGGATGGATTAAAGGACAGGGGTAGGATATAATTGTTGTGAAATGAAAAGAGTAGAAAAATCTCCTTTAATTAAAGAGATATTAAGTACAGCCAGAATTTCTGCTGCATCCATAATAAACAGAAACCAAGAATACTTCACATAGCTGAATGGGTTTATACACAAACATTTTTTGTTTTATCAGTCAGGAGTTCTCGCCTTCAGTTACAGGAATCTTAAGAAGTGTCACCAAAACCCAGCCAAGTATGTGAGCCTTGGCACACAGCAGCCTTTTAACAACTCACACTAATGTACACCAGAGTGCATAGGCAGGAGGTAAAGACAGCCCCAACCAAAATGACTCAAAAAAGGCAGCAGCTCATTAACCTTGGCTGAATTTGTCCCATGCAAAATCAAGAAAAGTTTTTATGATGATTATTATGGTCATGTTAATGACTACAAGATAAAGCCTCATTAAGTCTCAGTTTGATGCTTTTCCTTCCTGCTGCTGCTGATGATCACCTCCCCTCAGTGGGCAGAGCACTGAATTTTAACCACCATCTTTAAGACAGAACATTTAGCACCACAATGTGACTTGGAAACTCTGCTGGCATGGCAAGAAGCTTATTCAATATAATACACAAAAATCACCCAGAAACCTCTTGAAGGGTTAACAAGGCAAATCTTTGTACAGTTAATAACATTATCCTTGTCAAAACATATTTCTCCTATCACAAATTTCTTTACCATACCTAAAGCTATCCTCCAGTTCTCCCCACTAATCCTAGGCAGTGCTGAGCAGCCACATTCCTCCTACATTGTTTAGAATAAATGTTTACTCCAAGGCCTAAGTGTTCTCAAAGAGAGAGTGAGAAAATGGCAGCTGGGTCATGTATATATTTTTACCACAGATTATTAATGTGGGAGTTGGTTCCACATTCAAATGGGAACTGAAGACTAAAGCAGACATAGTGTCATGCCAAGCCCAGGAGAATGCTACCACGTGGAAGTAGATATTATTTTGCTCTCTGCAAGATCCTTTCATCTATACAAAAACTGTCAGTTCATGGTTTTATGTGATTTTCCACATATGTCATAGACATCAACTTAGAGCAGGCTTTTTAACCCTACCCTTGTATCTACACAAGCTTGAATGTGTGTGTATGTGTATACATTTTAGAAACATCCAGCTGAGAGACAAACTTTGGCTAATTGACTTTTACTGGCAAAAATTCCTCACTGTTTAATAATTTTTTGTCTACATTGCATCATTCTGGTTGAGTCTGTCTTTACTAGCTGACTTCTCCCTCCTTGTTTACCTTGCTGTTAGTTATTAAGTGAAACAAAAGGAAATACCAGCACTTTTTTCATCCCTGAATTTTAACTATCTTTTCTGTTACATTTTGGGAGACACAAAGTAGGAGAGAGGTGACAAAGCAGAAATTGAAGAATGTGTTGCTATATAGTGCCTTATCTAATTAGTGCATGGCTAGTTTCCCAGACAGAATATTTTGTCCAAGAGTAAGTAGTCTTCCTCTGTTGTAATTATCTAAACATTATTATAATGTCATCTTTCCAATACTCCTGTGAAGTAGCCATTAGCAATTATTATAGATTATATATAATTATATCATCATCATCTTTATGATGCAGATTACAAACACAAAGACAGAAGGTCCATCTCCCGTGTAAACAGACTTCTTAGGAACATTTTAGACACCAAAGTAAAAAACCCTCATTATTATATCTTTTATGTTACCCTATGGACATAACACTATAAAAATTCCTATTTTTAGAAGTGAAGGTTTATATCTCAGCAAACTGGTTGAGAAATCATTATTCTATCAAAAGCTTATGAGCGATCAGGAATGTCTAATGAGGTTTTCCTCCAGCTACAAAGCATGAGTGGATCTGATTTAGTGTGTGCACTCACAGGACACTCTGTACATGACTACCGTGAGCAAATCATACTTTGCCTATCGCATTCATTAACACAAAGAAATGGCTGTAACAAAGTTCTGCTATTCAGGCCTTTATTAGTGTGTTTGCAGGGCTCAGTTCTCACTTTTGCTGAGCAAGTTCACACCCACAAGTCCTGCCTTCCAGCCTAAGGTGTAGGTTATCTGAGAGAGTACATGCCTCTGTTCCCCCCTCCCCTAGGAGTCACAGTTTTCAAAGAAGAACTTGAGAACTGTCAGGACTCAGTTCTAGTGGTCACAGAAGTGTCATAGAAGTTGGGGACATGTTTGCCAGATCTTTCCCCAAAATCAGTTTATATATTCTATTTGAAGGCTGTTTCATGGGTATCACTGGTTTTAGTCTGGTAAGATAAATTGCTGATAGTATTCCCAAGAACTGTTTTGCTGGTTCCAGATTCTTGATGGTTTCCCATTTTTAGGAGTCAAAGCCACTCTCCCATTTGAAGCTCCTTCCCTCAACAGCATCATAGCAGTGGCGTGAGTGGGGCTGCAATGCACCTCCCTTGCATGGAATGGGGGATGCTCTAGAGAGGGTGACATGGCAAAAGTGGGATGAGGAATAAAGGAAGATTCATTTAGGAATGAATGAATGAATGAATGAATGAAAACATTTAAACAAAATACTTGCAGTGTATTCAGCAGAGGACCTAGCGTGGGGTCCCTTGGGAAAACGAGGGTATCACTTCATAAATAGACACGTTGTAGTGACAAATAAGATCCTCTCATACACAGGCAAGCTGAATTCTGCAACTTCTGTTAAAGTGCTTGCTTTTCAAGAATTTTTTTAGCATTTATTTTAATGGCACTTAAGGATAAATAAAGATGAAAGGACTAAGAATGTCATGCAGCATATCAAGTTGGGCCATTTCTCCTTGCAAGTAGCTTAACTTAAGGCAATTGAGCCTCTGCCTCTGTTCCTTCAAGTTTCAGACAGCATTCTGGCTTTGTTTGTTCTTTTAAAGAGGGTTATGAAAAAGCAAACCAATAACTTTTGCACTGAAGTTAAAGTAATTAGCCTAGAACAGCAGTGTCAACATAAATATGATTAAAATGTGTAGCTGCATGCTGTGTAAACTATTGCTGCATGGAAGAGTGTGAGGAGAGCTAAATAACATCAGCACAAGAGAAATCTTAAATAGGGCTTGACAGAAGAGAAAATTCTTATCAGTTCAAAATCACTGCCTCAAAGCCAGTGAGTCTAAGCTGTATAAGTACTATTTAATCTTCTTACAAATAAGATCTAATCGTAGATGGCTGGGTCACTATCATTCTCCAAAGCAAGAAAAAACTTGCTGGCTCATTTGAGAACACATCTTTTCTTTTTCTGTGGCTGGATTTTTGGCATACCATAGCTCAGGCCTTTTTGGAGCCTTGTAAACATCACTTATCTGGGCCTATCAGTAGCCAAATGGAACACTGTGAACATTCCCGCTGGAGCTGCCAGAGAAATAACGGCTCCCTGAGGATTAACTTCTCAGTGAAAAAGAAAGCAAGCCTGTGTTACCACAGCATAATGGCCTTCATCTGTAACCTAGATCTGGGCTGGCTTCTTTCAAATGCTTTTTCACTATGCTATCAGGAAGGGAAAAAACCCAGGCAGTTTGAAGGGAACTTCACAGGATCAAATGGTGCCAGTAGGAATCCACCATCCCTCCCCTGAGCCCTTTTGGAGGAAGCCTGAACAAGGAAAAGGTCTCAAAAAGCCTTCCTGGAGAGAGGTGAGGGGAGTCCAGGGGGCTGGGAACAAGCACAGCCTCCTCATAAGGAAACAGTATGAGGATAATCATCCCTGTGTGTTTTCCTGCCCTGGTGTGTGGATTCAGGGAGCAGAAGGAGCTGCAGTTTCTGGTCACTAAGCCTTTGAGAGCAGGAGCCACTCTGGTGAGTCACAGGGCAGCCCAAAGTGCTGACCACTGCCTGCAAACATCAGCACCTCTTCCTGACTTCTGCGAAGGGCTGGGTCTAAAACAAAGCCAGGGAAAGTCACCTTAAAGACCTCTGCCTACCAGATTGCTCTGAGCCCAACAAGACATTGCATCTCCCACAGCCACTTAGGCCTTTCTGCCTAAAATATAATACAGCTTGTCCTGCTGACAGTCTTTCAAGTAAGCTTCTAAAGTGAAGGATGACACAGAGACTGAGTCCACCAATGCTTCTGAGAAAAAATATTTTTCTTCCCATGAGACAGTCTGTCAGCAGAACAGCAGTCACAGTGCTGGCACAGGAAGGAATAAATCCCTGAGCTCATCCAGGCCAGTCAGTACAACTGGAGTACAACTGCACTGACCTCAAAGAACGGCAGTGTTGAATTAATGTTGAGTAATTAGAAAATGACACCCCATTTATCTTGAGAGCCGTGGACTCCTGATGACTTGGACCAAATTCTGATTTTTTGTGGAAGGTTTATCAGAAGCAGAGTAGGAGTCTGAAAGGCTAGGTTTGGAACTGGTCAGGGTAGGTAAGTTGGAAAGGGGAAACTCAATTCAGATATCTAGTGGGAAGTTCCTCAGTTCATCAAAAGCATTCCTGTAGGGTTAAAGAATTTATTAAAAACCAATCCCTCCTTTGCTCATCTGAACTGTTTATTTGATGTACCTACATCTATTCATTTATTCCACAGCATGCCCAAACAGTCAGCCTTGGTTTTACAAACTCTAAATCCAAGAAACATAATAAAATCCATCTCCTTACCTGCTCTGTGAGGAGCTCTCAGGTACGTGGTACATGAAGATATTTCCTTGAGAGGCAGCAGCCCAGTAACTCGCCATGTTTATGATGGGACACGTGATAAACTGGTCACTGATAAAAAAGGAGGAGCAGAGAACAGACACAGTTGTGTAAAGGAAAAAAGGGAAGAATCCCTACAAGCAAAAGATCTCTCTTTATCTTGATAGTTTACTTCAATTTTCCAAACCAGCTCATATCGTTGTCTTCAAATTGACTGAAGAAAACCACATTCACCCTCTACAAGACCAGTACTGCTTAGAATTCACTAGAAGTGCTGTTTTATGAAGTGCTGAACAATGATAGTAAACAAACCAGATCTGACATATAAGAAATATCTTGGCAAAAAAAAAAAACCCATCCCACTTTAGTCTAGTTTATAGGGGCTCATGCTTATAGTAGTTAAAAGTTCTTTCTGGCACCACTAGGTTGTGATGGCATCTAATGAGAGGTCTTATGTATTTCCTGGTTTAAGTATCAATAATATAATTTCTGAACTTGTATCTGTGTGATTTCTTGGGTAGAGTTTCCAGAACGCAAAGAGGTAAGAGACCACTTTTGAAGATAACCTGCAGGGCTCATCAATATGGAATTCCTGGTGCAATATATCTGGGAGAGAAAGATTAACCAATAAGAGTGCAAGGAGGAAGTCAAATGGTCAATTTAACACCAGGTCTAAAAGGTACAAGTGAAGCAAATGTATCCAAACCTTCCTAACTTCCTTTGCCCCAAGAAGAGGGGCTGGAAGGTGGGGTGAGCAGTAGCTGGAAGAAACATGAGTGGTTCAAGAGGGGCAGGTAGAAGAGAGGAGACCTTTCTGCAATATATCTCACTGTGATTCCTCAAGGCAATATTATACACACATGCACCCCCACTCCCCTTTCTTCCTGTGCTTGAGGGCTCAGCACGTGCTTTGGGCGTTTATATACCTTTACCTAGGTGAGTGCACACAAACATATCTGCTGAGGAACTGGGGAGTTTCAATTCTCAGTTTAGTGAATCTGAAACAGCAGTTTCTCCTTCAGAGTTGGTAGGTTAAAAAAAAAAAAAAAAAAAAAGGCTGGTACAAGAACCAACAGCATCAGAGAAGCATGAAAACATGTTGCTATTTTTAACTGGTATGGTAATGAAAGGCACAGTTTGGGTAGCTATCTTGGTTCAGCAGAGTTTATTTTAAGCTCATCTGTGAGACCACAAGCTTTGGGCTCACTGACCACAGGGCTCTTTTGACAGTTATGGTTGACAACACCCAAATGAAACAAAAATTACTGCTCTTCACATGCCTACCAGTATGGGGCTTTAGAGGAGCAGATGGTCTTTGAAAACCAGGGAGTCTGGGGAGAGTAATAGCTCTCAAGAAATGCTTTGAGTTGCATTTCACCATTTAAAATGGATTCTCAGCTGGTTCTGTGGGTGGGAAAAAAGTCAGCTATTCTGAGGAAGTAGAAAAAAAACCTCAATGCATTGTAACCACAAAAATGAAACAGCCATCTCTTACAAACATGGAATACCAGAGTTTTAAAAAGAAAAGAAAAAAAGGAAAGAGGAAGAAAATTAAACTAATTTTACACTTAGGGAAAAAATACCAGAAAATTGCAGCTAAAACAAATTTAAAAGTAGAATTATTTTAAAACCACAAAATATAAGAACAGTTTATAACAACAAAAGTTTGTAACAACCACTTATGTTGCTTTATCACACCTTGTAATCCTATGAAAACTTTAACAGGTAATTCCTTACATAAAACTTTTCTTGACTTACACATCTATGCCGGTAGTAAGTTTTTTGTTATAAAGAAACAAAACTAAGGAGAAAAAACCCAAAGCCAAACCAACCAACCAAACATCAAAAAACCCAAAAAAACCCTGTTTTCTCCACCATGTACATGATGCTGATATAGGTGACTCTCATTCTGTGCCTACTGTTTCACTTCACTTTCTGCTGTAGCTGGAGTAATTTCCAAAGAGTTTGAAGCAAAGTATTATCATCAGATGCCCTCGTCTCACTACTCATCCTTTTGCTTGGCCAGGAATAAACCATTCACTTCTTTTCTTAGCCAAATTTATGCCTCATATCGTAAAGGAGCAGGCAATCCCTACACCTAGGAGGCTGCTGAGCCTGAGGAGCTGCTGGTGTATCCCATTCCTGCTGCAAATGGGTGGTGTATCCCATTCCTGCTGGAAATGGGTGGTGTGCCAGCCCTTGCAGCTTTGCAAAAGTCAGTGTTTGCACCACAATGAGCCCTGGGCTGAATGCCAGTGGTCAAATGTGACAGCCCTGTGTTATAACAGCTCCTTATAGAGGGCTCTCTGGATGATAAGAATGGTTAAAATGTAAGTCCTGTAGTGGCTAATTATGGCTTAAATCCTCGCTGATCTAAAGAATATTTCCCTAGGGGTAGCAGTGATGATGGAAGGAGACTGAATACAAGTCCTGGCTTTGATGCCCATAAAGCACAGTGCTTCTGCATGTACTGCAGGCAATGGCCCCAGTGTCGTGGTGATGGGAGGCCCATCCCCGGGAGAGGCTGCAAAGGAGGACAAATGTGGCAAGATGTGTGAGTTGATAAATGACACTAAGCTCAGCCCACAAACCTCTGGCTTGTTTCCTCTGTGACCTCAGTGCACCAGCACACCTGGACCACCCAGAAATTACTGTCTTTTTTTTGAATCAGATGTTTCCCAGAGAATCTTGGCTCCTGTTCCTCTCCTGCTCCCTAAGGCTCTCCCAGAGCAACATTCTGCAACTCTGATGGAGGAATAAAAGGAAAATCCTGTCTCTGAGGTGTTGTGGAGAGGCTCACAGTGGGACAGAAAACACTGAGAATGCAGATACCAGGAGCCTGTAGCTATGTCTCAGTTCAGAACACAGGTGGAACATCTTGGACAGGCCCATTAGGATTCAAGTCACCAGTTTATAAGCTACATCACATTAGAAAAGTAGAGTTTTCACAATTAATCTGCTCATACAGCAGAAACAGGAATAGGGAAATAATTTTTTGATTAATTTCTGGAAAATCTGTTCCACTTACACATCCAGTCCCTAAATTTGCTCAGAGACAGAAAACAGAAAGTTTTCAACTTCCACCTCCCAAAGGTCCATGCAATGTTTCAATGCAAAGGATGGGAGTGCATTTACTGCAGGCAAGTTGCTCATTCCTCTGCTGACATGCATGAGGTGCTGGAGCCTGTCCAGAGCAGGGCAATGGACTGGGCAAGGGGCTGGAGCACAAGTCTGCTGAGGAGCAGCTGAAGGAGCTGGGGGTCTTTAGCCTGGAGAAAAAAAGGCTCAAGGGGAACTTTATTGCTCTTCACAACTGCTTGAAAGGAGGTTGTAGTGAGGTGAGGATTAGTTTCTTCTCCAAAGTAACAAGCAAGAGGAAATGGCTTCAAGTCATGCCTGACATTGTGAATAAATGTATTTTGCAGGTTTCATAATTAAAAAAAAATTATTGTAATTGCTGAAGTAAAAGTTTTCAAATTTGACCATCAAGAAAAAGTATCTGACTGTATAATTAGGGGACTGGGAATAAAAGGCAGACTATTAATTCTACTGTCACAGGGATGAGTCAACTCAAGGAACTGTTGATGCACAGTGTGCAAGCAACCCAGACATCTATGACATGAAAATGCAAAAAGAAGCATTAGTACTCTGAACTCAATATCCAGTTCTAGAACGACATGTCAAACTTTTTACAAGGCACAAAAATCAGTTCAATTTCTGTTTACCAATGACATTGGAAACCTCAGAGAAAATGAAATCATATTGCCCATTTTCTGTTCATTTACATAAGAATTTCTCAAGGTTTTTTTTCAAGAATATAAGTACACACTTTAGATAAGCAAAACAAGCCTTGCTCAACTCCAATCACACAGTTGTACTAGGATGACTTTCTTACCGGGTGGCGTTTTCCAACGCCCTGGAAAAGGATGAATAATCATCAGTTGAGTGTTCCAGGGAGTAATACCATGTAGCTGCATCTTCAATGAATGAGTTGGACTCTTCTCCTCCTAGAGAATTTTGCAGAGCCTGATAAAACGCTGTTTTGCTGTTGGCTCTTCCTTGACTTTCTTCAAATTTCTGAGAAAAAAGTGCATACATGGAATTCAGAAACAAAACCAAAAGATAATTTTTTTAGGAACAATGTAGGCTCAGATCTCCCTCTGCTGGAACAAGTCCTCTCTGCTGTGATCTCTGATTCCTAAGGGATTGAGTAGGAGACAGTCTTACTTTTGTTTTCCCAAAATTGTCACCAATGAGAAATATTGGCTTCTTCTGGACACACTATACTAGAGAAACACCGACCTAGTAGGTCCAAATCATAGGTACCAAGCTGTGCCAATGGATCTCTAATAGTACAGAAATCTTCTCATAGAAGGGGTTCCCAGGGACAGCCCTCCACTGCACGCGTGGCCAGTGCTGCCTTTCTGATGATCTCCATGAAGGAAAACTAGAGGGGAGAGAGGGAGTTACTGCTTCTTTCCTTTGAAAATTCCAGAAAGCAAACATGTTGTGTAGGCCATTTCATGGCTATGTCACTATGTCACTCTGCCTCTTCTGAGAACACCTACAAAGGAATACGGCTGCTCCAAGTTCCACATTTAGGGCCCTTCTGGAATAATATCAGCCTTAGACCTAGAAGAGAAATTCCACTCCTTCAAATCCCAATGCAGGGAATAGCTATGATCTTCAAACTTCATAACCCTTAGGGCCTTTCAGAGAAACCAACAGGGAAATGCCCTTTTTTCTGAGATCTGTGACCTTTCCTAACATAAAGGCAAGTTCCCCAGAGCAAAGTGCCCATGCCACAGGGACCACCTTCTATGCCAAACTGTGTATCGAAACATATTTTTACCAAAGCTAAAGACTGCTGGAATTTTTCAACACATCTTTCTTTGAGGAAGTTTTTTATGTTATCAACTGAAACTTTTCACTTTTAAAAAAACTTATTTCAATTTCAGAAACAGAACAACTTCATGAAAAAAGAAAAATCTACCCCAAACTTTTCTGTGCATCAAGTCTTTTCTAAAGAGGGCACTATACAGGTGGATGTTGGTTGAAACTTGGATAAGAACCCCTGAGAAAAAGATCTAACAAACCACCTCTATTATTTTGGGCAGTCAGTCTGATGCAAACTAGGCCAGAGTCTGCCCAGTTTAGTTACTGTAGATGCTTTACCTAATATATTATTTTGATGGCCCACAGCTGGTTTTCATCGTGCTGCTAGAAGATCTTTCCACAACCCTATACAGAAAGTACAGATGGAATTATACCTTTTCAGTAGAGTCACAGAAATTAAAGATGGAAAAAAAGTTCCCATGTGCTGAGGGTGAGGTTTGTGCTTGGTATTCTAACACTCTGTGCATTTTGAATAAGTGACTTTAAGGGATTTGAAAACTCTACCAAGTATCCCAAGGTCCAAGAAGATCCTGGCAATTTGCCTTGTATTTTTAATAGAGTCTTCTTTTGCTGGATTTGACCCATGCAATGTGAAAGAGTCATGTGGTGCCAGCTTTAGTAATAAAGCTGTACTCCAAAAAAGATGGGGAGTTCACTCCTGACACGTCACCTCATGTGCACAAATGCCACATATGAAACTGCACAGCACTCCTGCCTGCAAAACCATTCAGCTTAAAACCAGCAAGGACACATATTCTTCTGCAGGAAATAGAAATGTTCACTGAAGACCTGACTGCCAGTTCACTGAATTCCAAAGCAATTTTTCCATAACAGCTTTGGCACACATCACTTTGGGTTCCTACCAACCAGCAGAAGGATTGCTTTGTTTAATTAAGAATCTCTCATTTGAAGACTGGGGTAAGCAGTTGTGGGTAAGAAAAGACACTTTTCTGTAGCAGAGCAAAATCCAATCTCTTGTGTATAAATCAACCCATACAAGCAACTTTCATGAAGTACTTTCATTTTGTTGGCTTTTTAAAAGGGATTTATTAACTTGTTCTACTCTTGTCATGGATACTTAAACCAGACTGAAACAAAGTGAAAAAAACTTAGGGTATTGATTATGTAACCTAGGAACTTATCCATCACTCTCTCATAAATGGTCAAGTATCAAATAAAGGTTATGGTTGAAAACCACAGAGAAGGAGGTGGATCATCATACACCAACATATGGTTAAGATGACAAACTCCCTGCCAAATGTTTTTGTAAATGCCAAAAATTGGTGAAAATTAGGTTTAATGAATGATTTTTTGAATTAAAAAAAAAAATTAAAACCAAAATAATTTGGTAGTCATTAAATACAGAAAGATCAGTTCAGGACAGGAAGTCCCTGAGCTGTAAAGTGCTAGAGGTTTGGGGAGCTTTTACCAGAAGTATCAGATTTGCTTGCCCTAATCTTAAAAGCAGCCTCTTTTAACCACTGCTGAAAACAGCATTTTGTTCTGAACAGCCCTTTGATCTGACTCCGTGTGGTCAGCCTTGGGTATTTAATGTCAGAAGTCAAGGAGAAGAGGCAGAAGGCTGGCTTGGCTGGAGAGGGATCTTCTCTCAGAAATAAGGCAAAAAAGGAAGGTGTAGGCCCAGCTGAAGCAAGGTCAGGTGTCATGGGAAGAACACAGAAATGCTGCTTGCAACTCTAAGGAGAGAATTCATTTAGCCAAAGCTCAAGTGAGGTGAAGCTGCCAGAAATGTGAGGGGCAAAGAAAGTTTTTTTCAAAAATGCAGTGTAGAAATAACATGGACCCTTTCCAGAATAAAAATGGTCACTTTCCTCACAGGGACATGGACAAAGCAGAGATGTTCAATACATTCCTTGCCTCTGTCTTCAACACTGATGATGGACCATGAGGGCCTCAGTGCCCTGAGCTGGAAGACCATGACTGTGAGAATGACCATCTCACAGTTGACTGAAATTGTGTGGGATCTGCTGCTACAGCTGGATCCCTACAACTCTACAGGACCTGGTAGGATTCAGCTGAGAATCCTCAATGAGCTGGCTCATGTCATTCCAAAGCCTCTCTCAATAATTTTTGACCAGTCTTGGGAATCAGGAGAGGCCCCAGTTAACTGGAAGTTGGTGAACATTGTCCCAGTTTTCAAGAAGGACAAGGAGGATCTGGGAAACTACAGGCCTGTCAATCTCACTTCAGTGCCTGGTAGCGTTATGGAGAAGATTATTCTGGGATGTATTGAAAAACACCTGAAAGACAGCACAGTCATTGGTCTCAGTCAGCACAGCTTCATGAGGGGAAAATCCTGCATATTAATCCATTTATGACAAGGCAGCCCACTTAGCTGATCTGGGAAAGCCAGTAGATGTAATCTCTTTGGATTTCAGCAAAGCTTTTGATACTGTGTCTCACAATTCTTCTGGACAAAATGTTCAGCTTTCACCTGAATGCCTGATACACGACTAGTGAGCAACTGAGTCATGGGTCAGGCACCAAGAGGGGTATGGAATGGGGTGACAGCAGGCCGGTGACTGGTCCCTAGTGGGGTCCCACAGGGCTCTGTTCTCCACCCAGCTCTTTTCAGCATCTTCATTAATGACCTGAGCACAGAACTCGAAGGAAGTTTGCCAATGACACTAAACTGCCAGGGCAAGGGAGGGGCTTGTCCTGATTTGCTCTGCACTGGGGTGGCCTCACCTCCAGGACTTTGTGCAGTTTTGGGTACCACAATATAAAACAGACATTAAGCTCCTAAAGAGCATTCAGAGAAGGGTCACAAAGATGGTGAAGGGTCTGGAGGGGAAGGCATATGAGGAGCAGCTGAGGTCACTTGGTATCTTCAGCCTGGAGAAAAGGAGACTGAGGGGAGGAGACCTCATTGCAGATACAATTTCCTTGTGAGGGGAAGTGGACAGACAGGCACTGATCTTTCACTCTTGTGAACAGTGACAGGACTCAAGGGAATGACCTGAAGTTGTGTCAGGGGAGGATTAGGTTAAATGTCAGGGAAAGGTTCTTCACCCAGAGGGTGGCTGGGCATTGGAACAGGCTCCCCAGGGAAGTGGTCACAGCACTAAGCCTGTGTCCAAGGGTGAGGTCCTCCTGCTTTGCTCCCGCTCTGCTTTTGCTTTTTGCTTCTGTTAGTTTAGTGAAGCGGTCCAGATTTTTCCCTGGACTGTTTTTTCCCTTCCCTTCTTGAAACCATTCAAACCTGCTCCGGACTGGGACCTGGGAAACACCGAGAGTTTACATCTTGTGGCTGCAGCAGCCATCCCCAGCGCCGGAGGGAGCAACAACAGAGCGACCACTCCCAGGAAAGACTTTCTGAATTTGTCATCCTTTTCAGATCGGTGAAAGTGTTGTCATCTGGTATTGTTCATTTTGTGTGCTTGGGGTGTTTTGCTTGTTAAATAAACAGGCTCTTTCCACTTCTCTCCAAGGAATCCTTCCCAAACCGGTGGGGGAAAGGGGCTGTGTGGGTTTGCTTTCTGGGGTGGCCTATGCACAGGTTCCTGTGGTCTTCAAAATGCCCCGAAAACTCTGCAATTTTCAGAGTTTTCTCAGCAATAATTTATGATATTGTGGGGCCGTCAAGTTGTGTTGACTCAGATGAAAAAGGGCTCAACAGGCAGAGATGGATGATAAACAGAACTAGAATTTGTAAGATGGTAAGAATTTTCACCCCTCAAACAGCACTAAAATAGCACAACCTGAAACAATTTCTCAAGCATTGCTTTGGCTACAGTATAATTTAAACATCTGACTTAAACATGATAGCCAAAACCAAAGCAATATGTTCAAAATAAAATTCATTAAACATGAAAAAGACAAAATATTTTAACTTCTCAGAAACTGATTCAATTCAACCGATTTTCCATGTCCAACATATGTTCCCATTAGAAAATATATGACCAAGGAACAATTTTCAAATCATAGTAGATACAACAGCTGCTACCAGATTAACAGAAACAGCTGCACATCATGTAAAATAATTTACATTTTGCTAACCTTTAAAGAAGCATTAAGAATTGGCTCAGAGTTATAGTCAGGTTTTCTAAGTAATTATTTAAGAAAATGTTTAAAGGCAGCACATTGATTCCTTTCTACTCTTCTGATGATTCAAAAACATCATAAACATTACCTAAATAATAAGATAAATACTGCTTACTGTTCCTGTTGCTGCAGGATAGCTTATGGAGCATATGAGTAAAACTGGCCCAGTGTTTTACTTAAAAAGAAATTGCAGCAGTAGGTAGACCAAATATTTACATATTCCAAGGGGCAAAATGTACTTTTTTAACAAACTGAAACAGTGATAATGCTAACAGTGTATGTAAAGATCTTAGGCCTTAAATGGCTTTTGAGAAACACTATCACAAAAGATGGTGAAAGACCTGCCACCGTTCAGCAGAGTCTTCCAAGATTCCTAACGAGTTTCAATATGAAGAGTTCAGCCCATTCTCCTCACTCATGGCATTTATGGAGACACTTCTCCCTGGTCATTACAACAAATATACACATATCTATCTCCTGTTGTATATTGCTGAATACCTTTTTCCATAAAGAAATTAAGTGACTGTAATAATTTGCAGGATGGTAGTACTGTCTGCACAGATTTGTTTGCTTACATGAGGTAAATAAACTAGATTTCTATCTACCCACTCCCCTATGTTCTGGATTTGGGTCCTGCATCCAACTAGATTGAACTAAGCAGGGAAAGAAAAAGAAACAAAACACATGAAATACAACCTCAGTCTTTCCTTGCCATGTGGAGATTACATAGTAGGTGCTTAACATATGGAGCACACAGACTGGGCTATACTGACCTCCATGCAGATAGAGATAAACACAGACATAGAGCAGCATGAGTGAATCCATAAATTTAATGCCATTAGGTCCTCCCACCTGAGCATCACATATAGGCCAGGAATAAAATTTTGTCCACTTGGGAATTGAAATCAACATTTTTAGAGGTTTCTGCTCAGCTGCCTTAATCTATGACTGCTCAAAGCTAATATTCCCTGAAGGTGTGCCATGGGAATTGCAGTGAATGGGTTCAGGCTTAACCAGTCCATATGTCACATAACAGTGCATTATGGTACCACTTGCCATTCCCTTAACAAACTCTGCTTTGTTTCTCACTTAGTTTTAACCTTATGATTGCTGCACTGGGGATGAGTAGGAAGTGCTCCAGGAAGTGATGGATCTGGCTCAGTTCACATGAATAAGCATTTCAGTGAATGCCATAAAATGGACTTTACATGAGCATACTCTCTTGCTGCAAACATCGAGACCTCAGCCTTAAATTGTAAGCAAATTGAACATAAATGCTTTGCTAGCACATAAGTGGTGCCTTCTGTCTTTCTGTTTCATTTTTCATAGCAAAGACCTTAATAGGCACAAGCACAGTGCTGCAGTGGGAATAGAGAGACACCCAGAGCAACCCAAGGCCAGTAAGATCCCACAGAACAACACGGTGCCAACTGGATTTTCCATCTTCTGGTCTGGTTGCATCCTAGAGTTTCACTCTCACTTCTGTGTGAAGAGTGCAAAGAGTTTATAACACTTGCATGCAACTTCAGTCTAAGGCAGATTTGCATCATGTCTCAAGCTTGCTTACATCCAAATGGCTCAAAGTGTCTCCTTACCATTTACAGGATCAGTACTAAGAGAAATCAGGATTCACAGAACCAGTCCTTGACAGGATTGCCCAGCACAGTTATTCCCAGGAACTGGTGGAGCAAGTCAGTAGGGGTTAGATGTTTTTACCCCTCACTCTTTGCACTGTCTACACTGACAACAACCATCCTAAAGATGAAAATTAGGACTTTGCCAATTCCATGCACTTGCTAGAGTACCTTTCAGCTGTGTTTGTCCACTGAAATAGGACTTTGCCAATTCCATGCACTTGCTAGAGTACCTTTCAGCTGTGTTTGTCCACTGAAATAGGACTTTGCCAATTCCATAGGCTTGCCAGAGCACCTTTTAGCTGTGTTTGTCTACTGAAATACATCCATAGATCTCTCTGCAGAGCAGGACCACAGCCATAGGTGAATTTTCAACCCAGGGAGGTTTGCTTCCCTCTTTTTAGAACAGATTAAATACTTTGGGTGTAGTCAAAGGCAAACTAGTAATTATGCCTTCATTTCCCAAGTGCTGTTCAGTGCTCTATCAGCTAAGCCTTCCCACACTGCTTAGTACCAGTAAAACCAGCTTTGGCTATTCCTAGAGAGTTGCAAGTGAGATTTACCTCAAAGGAACCCTTAACATTAATTATGTAGATGATTGGGATACAGGGTGGATTGTCTCAAATTCTTCTTTGAGGTCTATTGTGGAGAGAGGACATTTAGCACAGGTTAAAGATCTCTTATGACATTTTTGACAGAGGAAATGGGGTACAGACTTCCAAGTAACAACCACCATCTGCACTAGATTTTGTAACTGTAGCTAAATACGTCTGTGGCTTATTCAGGACTTCATAATCAGATTCACTGCAACCATACATGGTCATGGCTAGAACACAGAAATGCTGCTGAGGACCTGGAGATTGCATCTTCCTAAGTAGCTCAGTGATGAAAGGACCATTACAGTTTCCCAACAATTAATACCCTAACAGTGTCTACAAGGGAGAAATCAGGAAAATTCAACCTTGCAGCAGATCTTTAAGAAAACAACCCAGACAGGAATACAGACTGGTCAAAGCATTCATATTCCCTCAAATCCTAAAAGCCTGAAGCCACAGGAAAATAGAAATAGAGGGAAATTTAAAACAAAAATCATCAGTAGATACGACCCTTTCTTATGGTTGAGTTGCACCAACTTACTGAGTTCCCTTCCAATCTTATTTTCTGCAAGCCTTTAAATAAAAAAGATATTTCCAGTTTAATTTTTGGACAGGCAACATTTTTCTACTGAACTCTCAGTTGGAAGTGTTTTTTCTTTTCTTTTCAATCTGATAGTGCTGGGATTTAGCTCTTATTGTGCCTTTCATCAACACCATGATTTGTTGCAAAATTTTTAATACAACATGGAATTTCATCTCAATTTTGCAGACAACTGTCATATGCAGAAGTAGTGGTAAAGGAAAGAATTTCACTTCCTAGTCTTCATCACAGGACTTGTAATGAGGTCACTGAGGTTTATTACATGTCAGAGGCTCTGGATCATTATCTGCAGGCCTCCAGCATCACACAATATCTTCTGTACCTTTCTGCTACGACTTTTTCTTTAAATTGATTACAAAAGAGAAAAAGAAATGGAAAAAGAGCAGGAAAGTTCTGATAGAGAGTAAACAAGTAATATGAACTTTAATTCAGGTGGGTCATTAATTCTGAATTCCATTGGTCTATGTGCTATTGGCTACCAGCAAAGAGAAGATGGGACTGACATTTCAATGCCTTCTAAGAGGTGAAATTTTGCAACAATCCTGTTGCAAGATAACAACAGACAGTACAACATGGATACAATTATTTTTGTTTTCATCAGTTTCTGTCCAGAAACCTTAGGCCACAATCAGGCCAGTACTGTTCCTTATAACAGTCCATACTCAGAATCATCTTTACAAGAAAATGTACTTCTAGGAGACAACAGAGAAAAAGGTTGCTAAAAAAAACCTCAAAATGGTGGTTTAATCCTGCTGCACAGTGAAGAAATTTATAGTTAAGTTGCTTTCATCTTTGTGAGATACTACTGAGATTGAAATATAAATAGGCTTTTAAAGACAGTAGGACATAAATGCTAAATCACTTCTGGTCTCTTACGATTTTGTATCTCCCACAGAAATATTAATCAACACATATTATTATGCTATTAGTTGTCCTGACCAAGACTGGCTGGAGAAGGACAATGCATTTGCGTATTTCTGTGAAGCATAATTCACAACCTGTAGAAATCAAAAAGCATCTCTCCAGGCTGCATGTGATTACAGTCATTACTTTAATCACAGTGATGCCATCAGTTCATTAACAGTGAGTGTCTTCCTACCTTAATTGCCTTGGCTCTGCTGATGAGGCCATCTTGTTGAGCACTTCCAATGAGCAGATCTACTTTCCGAAGCCAAGGACGCTGCAGGGCTTTAGCCAAAGGTTCTCGGAGGTAAATTCCATCTATCACTGGACCCCAGTACTGGAATGGGCCACTAATAGCTAGCAGCTATGTTGGGAGAAAAGAAAAAAAAAAGAGCAAGAGTTGTGCAGTTAATTCAGCTTACCCTTTAAATTCTATTTTATTTATGTTTAATTCAACTGATTGATTCCTTTCAAGTGAACAAGTGACCAGGTAATATAAGTGCAAACTCATCATTGGCAAAAACAATGATTTTGCTGACAGTTTCAGTAGGTGAAACAAACTGAAGAGGCAAAGAGAAATGATGGTCTTATAAAAATGTTGTTTTAAACTAGGGATTGACTTCATGCTGGTCCTCATCGAAAAATTTATTGCAGGTGGGTGTTTTAATTTGTGGGTAAAGGATCCATCTCTAGATTTATTTATACTGCAGCTTTCACAAGCCTCCCACTTCAAATACTGAACACTGACATCCCATCCTGCTTCATTTTCTGCATAAGTTCTGTTATTAAAGCTGCAGACCATGTTCTGTTATTAAAGCTGCAGACATTTGACTCTCCTCTAGAGTAACACCCAGGGGTAGGCAAGAGGGAACTGAAAGAAGGGAAAAAACAATTTTTAGATTTATTTCAGAAGACATGATTAAAGCAGTGTAAAAGGAATTTAGTCTAAAGGAGAATCAAATTGTGAGTATTCATAGCTCAGAGCTGGATGTCATGGACAACAACTTCCTTCCACCAAAAATAGTCCAGTTCCTCTTTCACAAGGATTCAGACTAAATTATTTTTTAAGGTTTCTCTCCCACAGTTTTGTGTGAATGGAAACTTTTTGATTTCTTGTCAATGGCATATGCTTTGCTATGTTGTACCTTAGTTTGAGCATCATTGAGGACACGAGCAGGCAACTGGCGAAGGCAGGCTACAATTTCCTCACTGGTGGATGAAGGGCATCCCACATCTTCAGCCAGGGCTTCTGCCTGGGTCTGTGCCCTCCTGGTAGTAATTATAGATGCTGGAGAAAAAGCTGAGCCTCCCTAGAAAAAAAACCCACCATATCCATCAATATATTTTGTCAGAACACCTGGTTCCCTGGTGCAGGTACAAAAGATGAGAAGAAAAATCTTTCCACCTGCAGAACGTAAAACCTTGGCTTTTAAATTAAAATAAGTGAGTTCTAAAGATCAAAGCAAAGGGGTGAAGGGTCAGTTAGGCTGTTTCCAGCTCTGCCACAGTTAATTTGGAAGAGTTCTATGTATGTTTATTATGTCTCTAACCAAATGACAAATCTTTCTGAAAACTTTGGTGGAAAGAGAAACATTGAGACAGGAGCAGATATAAAGAAGGTGCTGTGAGGCACATGAAGAAATGGAGAGCCCATTTTACAAGAGGAGACTAAATAGAGTTTTATCATAGCTCTGACAAACTAAGTATGTTAATGTAAGGACAGAGAGCAGGTCCATAAAGATGTGATGTCCATAAAGAAAAGCTATTTCTACCTTGGGACTATGCTGGTACAAGGACAAACGAGCACTAAGTATTCACACTGAGTGTAAATCAGCTTCGGCTGGAAACCAAAGATAACTAGCACAGGGAGCAGTGAAGGTCTGGAAGGGCTGTGAACTGAGGAAGTAGGAACAAAAGACTAAAGAACACTGCAGAAGATTAACCAGAGCATGAAGATCAAAACCAGAGCACAGGCTACAGTCCAGTCTCTACCCCAGACTCTTTGTATTCTTGTTACAGCTGTGCCAACACAGCAAATGTTCTTAGCAAGAAAGAACGGCACAACATTTTTGAGTAAACATGAAAACTAGTTGTTGCAAATGCAGAAAAATTAGTTTAAATCTGATAAGAACTGACCTAGAACAGAAAGGTTGGAATAGCTCTGACATGGTTCAAATGACTAATTTCCAAACATTTGCATCAGTTTACTGATAATAGCTGCTAAAATTAGCTCTGTGCTCTAAAAAACCCCACAACCCAGATGCATGATATGAAAGACCCCGATCTATTGAACTGATTAACATACTTAGTGAATTTGCTCAAAGCATAACTACAAGTCTTGAAAATCAAGTTAAAAAGAAACAAAAACCAAACAGCAAATCTTCAAATTGAAATTGTCTCAAACCTTGGAGCCCAAAGAACTCTGTGAAGCCCTGGCCAGCACCCATGAGATTTTTTATATTTCAAACAAGCAGAGACATTGATACTAATGGGATACCATTGCTCACAACTGGAGAAACTGACTTCCAAAAATAGTGAGAAAGAGGTAATTTGGGTTTGGGTGTAGAGACAATCCTTTTAGTTCACTGCATGCAGAATTTCCAGTAATACTACCCTCCTGAAAGATTTCTCTTCTTTTTTAATAGATCTGGAAAACAAGCACTGTTATTAGCTTAATTATTGAGATGAAAATGGTTCCAGATAAGCAAAGGAAAAACCTATTTTTTTAATCTGGGCCACTGTAAGAGCCATCTTGAGTTTTAAGAGTGGAAGAACTAAAGAAGAAGAAATAAACACCACTTGGTCTTATTCTTCACTTCAGCACTCAATTTAGATGAGAACTCAAGTGAGCAATGGGTTTTATTCTCTCACAGGATTTGCAGTGGCATATTTTGTGTTTGTAAGGCATGATATTTGCCAGCTGCTGACTAGGTGCACTGACTCAGCTGGTCATGAGAGAGAAAGAAACATATCTTTGATGAGAGTATCTTGTCTGTGGGTTGGTTCCCAGCACATGGAGTGAGAACCATGTATTTTAACCTGACCTTTGGAAGAGCATGGTCATCAGAGTTATGATGAGTGAGACTAGAAAAGGGATAACACATCATGAGAGCTTCCCTCAGAAAAGGAGCTTCCTTGCATTTCATGAGGAGTAAGGAATTATGAGCCCCCTTAATACAGCTGAAAAATTAAATCCAAGGCTGCACAATATTTACCCACTAATCTGGCAAACATATTCTTCCACATCAGATCTGAACATGCTCAGCATGGTTTGTCAAGTATCCAGTACCTCCAAATGGCATTCATTTAAAACAAAGCAAAACAAAATCATAACTCCAAAAGTTTCACAAATTTTGAAAGTGTCAGTTTCTGTGGAAATTCTGAAGTTGCCCTATTAAAAGGCCAAGTTTGGTAGGGAAAGAGTACTGAAATCAGATGATATATGGATCCAAAAACTCACTGTGACCAAGCAAAGCATCCTTGTGTATGCTTGATTTTGAACATGTTTCCTTCTGGAGATTTTAAAAGCTGGCAAAGTTTCACTGTCTCAAATATCTACAACCTGAAAGATTGCCCTGAGTTCATGTACTGAGTAAAACAAAGACTGCAAAAGGTTCTGAATAGAAGCGTCCCCCAAGTTCTCTACAGCAGGGGCAGAACTAAAAGCTTGGGCAGGCAAATCTTCATGTCACAGCAGAGATGTGTATGGGCTGGCAGAAGATACAGTCAATGAGTAAAATAAAACCCCCAAACTTCTGCAAATACATTTCTGAGGGGAGAAGAGCTTGATGGAGCCTCTGGCTGTGAATATTTTCTTTTCTTTCTGTGAGTGGTTAGAAAAGGTTTATTTGCTCTTTATTCTGTACTTTTTCTTCTATTTTCCACGTAAATGGCCACTTCCTCAGTTTGCTATTTTTGGTAACACCCATATTCAGGAATCAAGTCTTGCATCTGGGGTTTGAAAGAGACCAAATATTAGGGCTT